CCACTTTACAGTGAGGAAACTGAGTTTCAGGAACTGGGCTTACCTGCAATTCTTTCCCTCCTCCCCATGCCAGCCTCCCTTCCCTCTCTGAGTTCCTCTCCTTCTCCCCTTACTGGGGCTTGGCTTGGGCTGAGCCCCGGGGGAACTGTAACCTGGACATTCTACACGTGGGGGCTTCAGAGTCTCTGAAACAAATTTGTCACCTAGATTTTCTGCTCTGTATATATGAAATGCTGCTATCCATTGCAAATTTTATTCTATACATATATCTGCTGGCTTCTCTTTTGTATTGCAAATATTAAATTACTTGTCTCTGTGTGCCATTGTGTCCTTGTCTCTCAATGGAAGGCAGTAATAGTCCTTGTCTGGAAGGCTGTTGCAGGGATTTAGTTCTCAAAATAGTCCCTGGATGTGCCGAGTACCATGGAGTTGCAACGATGGGTGTTACCCGGTGGCACACCTGTTGTCCTTCACCCTCCTGCCTCCATTTATACATTCTTCTCGTCTTTGTTGATATCATTGCTGTCCCTGGGGAATCTTTCTCTCAAATTAAGTTCAGTCCCTAGGAAAGTTCATTCAGCCCCAAATGCTTACCTCCAGAAAAGGGTGATTGTGTGATGACAGAGATGCTTAGAGAGAGGGAGAATCACCTTGCACGTCATTCATGGAGTCAGTAATTTTTTACTGAGGACCCCTCTGTTCCAGACATTGTAGTAAGCACTGGGGACATAGCAGTGCCTCATGGAGCCCACACTGTGTGGATAAGGCAGACAGTAAACAAAATGTTCTATCCAATATATCAAACATTTGGTGGTAGCAAATGCGAGGAAAACTAAAGCCACATAAGGGGGTTGGGAGTGCTGCTGTGTGTGTGTGTGTGTGGAGGGGTGTGTGACTGTGTGTGTCGCAGCGTGATTTTTCACAGGATAGTCAGGAAAGTCCTCCCTGGGAAGGTGATGCCATCCACACGAGCAGTAATATCCACGTCCTGACTGGAATGGGCAATGCCTACCACAAAGTAGGTGTTCGGTAAATGTGTGGCACATCAGAGGAGGGACTGACGGGAGGGAGATGCTTCCCAGAAACTCCCAAAGCAGGTTTTCACGGGGCTTCACTGTTTGCTGTGAGAGAGATTCCCTGAGTGAGCTATGTTGATGTCCACATGAGTCACAGTGAAGAACATGCGGGATGATCTGATACTGTACGGGCCTCAGATGATCTGATAATGCACGGGCTGATCCCCACCCTGGGGCTGGGCTGGGCTGGGTCATCTGCCCTCGGAGTGTATGCTTTCCCCCTGGGGTGTGTGCTCGTCTTCACCAATGATTTGTTGGCCAGGTGCTCTGCTGGGTGCTGGGCCGATGCTGGGAAGCTGACAGGCACACAGATGGGTGTTCACAGTGGAGGGTGAGAGGTGCAGTGATGAGAGGAGCTCAGGGTGTTGTGGGAGCTCTTGAGAAGGGTGCCTAGCTCATCTCTGCAGGGTGGCTTTGAAGATGAGACAGGATATCTGGGGAAAAAGCCAGGGAAAGCATAGGGCAAGAGGCCCGGGGCAAGTAAGGGAACTCCACAGTATTCCAGCTGGTTTGAGCATGAAGTGGTGTTTGGGTATATTGACAGGACGGAAGCACAGGCCTCCCTTCTGCTTCCAGGTCTTCAGGGGTGTGGTGAGCCCAGGGCCCAGGTGAAATTCTGCCCAGTGTCAGCCAGGATGGCTATGGGGCTGGGACTGTGCCGGGAGGGACTGAGCTCAGTGGCCCTCTCAGCCTGGCTTCAGGGTGCGTCTTCCCAACAATCCCTGTCTGTCTCGTGGAGTCAGGGGTCAGTGAAGGGAGGCAGGTGCCCGTGTGGTGGCAGATGGCACAGGGGTGGGCAAAAGGCCTTGTGGACCATCTCTCAGAGGACAGTTATGCTTAGAGCCAGGGCTGCTGTGAGGCAGGCACTGAGCTAGGTCTGAGATACCCTGCATGGAAATCCCGGGGAGGGAGACACCTCTTCTGATCGCAGGCGGGAGGCCCTGCCCTTGGACAGAGACCCAGAAAGTGCTGCCTGAGCCCCAGACAGAGGCCCTGGGAATGATGCTGACAGGGAGTGGTGGCAGGAGGCCAGCTAGAGGAGGTGGGAGGTGAATAGGGATGTGCATTGGCACCATCCACAAGCCGGATGGTCTGTGCAGGCACCCAGGAGGGAGGGCTGAATCACACTGGAGCTGGGGGTACTTCCCTCCCTGTGCTCATCCCAGCACCCTACCTGTGGTTGGGGGACCTGTGCATGTGGCCAGGCTGTACCTTCTACCCTGCATCCCCCCCACCCCCCGTGAAACCCACCCTTACTGTCCCCGATCCCAGCCCCTCCTGCCCCCAGCAGCTGGAGGTGTACCAAAATGCAAGTGCCATGTGTTGTTGCACCTGGGGGCCAGCCAAGCCCTATTTCCAGCATCTGCACCTGCTTTCCTCGGTGTTCCTACCTCTTGCACCTAGGTAGCCTGCTAGGGCCCCCACGTCTGGTCTTGTGTTTGGTGTTGCAGACCCCACAGCCAGGAAAGGTTAGCTGCTGGACGCTAGTGGGATGCCTCGAAGCACAGCCACGCTGAATGCCTCTCCTGGCAGGCACCCAGGACTCCCGGGGCTGCACCTATCCCAAGGAAGGATTTCAGGCCTTTGGGTCCTTCCCTGCCTGTAGTATGATACTTCTCCTTGTTATCCTGTTCTTGTCCATAGGGGTGTGTGTGTGTGTGTGTGTGTGTGTGTGTGTGTGTCTGCATGGGAGAGACAGAGGGGGAGAGAGAGAGAGAAATACAAAGAAGACACCACTGGCTGCAGGCACTGGGGGAGGGGCTTCCTTGCTTTTGATTTCTGTTTAGGGATGTAGCTCATGACTGGAATGTCCACTTTTTTTTAGCTTCCTGGAATAATTTTGAACAAACGTAAGATACATGAACACCACTCCCAGCACAACTACAAACTTCACAGTTTGTGACATGCCCCTGCCCCAAGGCCAGTGCCTAACTTCTCTCATGAGATCATGAATAATCAATATTTCTTGAGCATTTACTATGTGCCAGACAGTATGTGCTAAGAACCACATGTTCTCTATCTTCTTTAACAATCACATCAACTCTCTAAAATGGGCACTGCATAATTATCCCAAATTTATAGAGATTGATTCAGAGAAATTAAGTAACTCACCCACAGTTACACAAACAGTAAATGGTAGGGCCAAAATTGGAGCCCATGTCAATGTTACCAAAAGAAGAGGGGGCTAGTGGATCTCTCTGTCAGAAAAGGAGATGTCCTGTGGTGGAAATCAGAGCTCACCCAGTTGCAGCAGGACCTCAGTGAGTCCCCTGGGACAGCAGAGGAGTACACCTTTTCTGAGTGTACTTTTCAAGCTCCTTTGCAGGGATGGAGCAGAGGAAGGCCTGGCCTGCTTTCAGGATGCAATTATTTGTTGACCGACAGTGATTAGGGCAGGCTTTACCTAGGATGAGCTGAAGATGGGGAGGACTGGGGTGTTGAAGGCACTTCCAGCTGTGGATCAGCATGAATTTGTGATGGGAGTGAATGTGAGTTGGGGGCAACTATGAGTGTGGCAGGTCACGTCTGATCAGGAAGAAGGTGGTCTTGACCTTTTTAGGTGTAAGGTCCACAGAAAGGCTCAGGCTGAGGAGGTAGTGGTGACTGGGGGTAACAAGGCAGATTCTGGCTTGGGGTAGGCTGGATAGTAAGTGGGAGGACAGGTGTCCATGGAGACTCCTTGGACAATGGGATCTGGGGTTGGGCTCAGAGGGTTGGCATGATGTGGATGTGGCAATGATGTCTTGTGTTTGGAGGCAGGGGGGACTCTATAGATTCAGGGACTGGGGAAATGTTAGGGTTTGGGAGAGATAGCTCCTAGCAGGTTGAGCGTCGGGGCTTTACAGAAAAAGGATCCTGGAAACTGGCTGCTCTGGCTAGGCCCTGGAGGGGGCAAGCAGTCCATCTAAAGAAGAGGCCAGGGTTTTCTTTCAGGGATTTGCACACATTTGTGTGATGGGGAGAGGGACTAGGGAGAGACAACCTTGTTACTTATCCCTACCTCTTTGAAATAGAGCAGGTAACCAGTTGAGGAGAGGGGAGTGGAGGGGAGACAGATACTTAGAGAAATCCCAGTGAACAGAGAGGGAGCAGACAACATGGACCTCTGGTGAATGCCTCAGCTCTCCTCAGAATCCCTGCAGGGTATGGCTAAGGCTCTTGGCCCTGGGAGGTGTGAAACCATGGACAGAGGGAGACCACTTGGTCGGGAGGCATCTGGCCCAGGAGAGTGGTCTGGCTGGTGCTCCCCAAAGTGGGCTGTGGTGCAGTGGTTAGAGCCCAGTGCAAATGGGCTCAAGGTGGCATGGCTGACCATCTAGGCTCATGCACAGTAAACTGCGTCTGTCCCTAGCCCTGGCCTCAGTCTGAGCCCTCCTCACCCTTGGCGCAGTGGGAACCAGTTAGATAGGGTGGGTATAGGGTACGTTCTCTCCAGAGCTTGGGACCCAACTCAGTGCCTGTGTATCCCTGGAATTGGTGATGTCTCTAAATATGCAGGGTTGGACAGAGGTGAGGGCCAGAGATGCTAGCCTGGGACCTCCAGACGTTGTCTCTACTAGACTCATCCCTAATGGGCAGAACCCATTTGATTTCCCCCTGGAGAACTTCTTAGTTCCTTTCTTCTCTCAAACTATCTTTGGCTACAACAATTCGGAGTTCCATTCTGCCTTGTCTGGTCTTCACTAAAGAGGGGAAAGAATTTCCCACAATCCCCTGGGGCTTTGATACTTGAGTCTGGGGAAACTTCATGAGAGCACGAGCTCCCTCAGAGTGAAAATCAGAGTGTTGATGGCCCAGCTTGTAGCAGCTGAGGAGTATGGTCTGAGATCTCCTGGCCCTGGGGACATAACTTTTGGGACCATTCTCCCCACCACCCCCAGGCTCTTGGGTTAGAATCTATAATGACCAGCTTTGTGTCCGCAGGGTGGTGTGGTGGATGACAGGAGTGAAGATTCCATGTCCATCTCTACCTTGAGCTTTGGTGTGAACAGACCCACAATTTCCTGCATCTTTGATTGTAAGTGAAGCTTGGACCTATCTCCAGGATTATATGATGTGTAACCGTACACTGTAGGGGTGTGTGTGTGTGTGGGAGGGAGGGGTTCTGGAGAGCTGAGTCTGTGCTTTTCAGTGGGTGTCTTCAGTGTGTGTGTGTCTGTGTGTGGTGCTTGCTCAAGTGTGAGATGGGCTTTCCAGGCCCTGTGCACTGTAACTGTCCCATTGTCTACTTGTTCTCCTGACCCTGCCTAGTGGCCTGTGTGGTTTCTATTGCTCAGCCCCTCTGTTGCCCACGCTAGGGAAAAGACTAGCTCCTCACTCTGGTATCTCTGTTTCTTTCTCGGTGAAGATGGGAACCGCTACCATCTACGCTGCTACATGTACCAGGCCCGGGACCTGCCTGCGATGGACAAGGACTCTTTTTCTGGTAGGTAGGAGAGAAGGAGGAGAGCCAGGGAGCATGGACTGAGAGCTGAGGTCGGAGATATTCCTTGTGGATGGGAGCTGTTGCTGGGTCATGGAGGTAGGAGCTAGCACTAGGGTCCTGTGGTTTCTTTGTCATCAGGAGCAGTGGCCACTTGACTATGCCTTGCTCATCAGTTCCTCTGCAGGACTGGGGTTTGCCAATTGTCCCCTCTCCTCTGGCCTTGGCTCCTAGGCCACCACTCTCTCCTGTGTCTCCTGTGGCCTCCTTTTCCACCTGCTACCCTTGGTGCTTCAGGGCCCCCTAAGCCTGATGCTCCTGAGAAGTCCTATCTGTATCCTCTCTGAGTGCTAAAGTCTCCTCTCTCCTTCACGTCCACTCATCTTGGTTCATCGTGTCCAAACTCCTGTGTGACCCTGTGCCTCCCAGATCCAGGCTACCTCTGCATTGCCCACCTTGGTCTTAGGGTCAGCAGTTGTCCATTACCCAGGCTGGAACCCTCAGCCACTCAGTCCTGTGGATTCTGGCTCTTGAATCTTTTCAGATTTGTTCTCTCCTCTTCAATGTCACACTGCCATATCTTGCTGACCTTGTCCCTTCTTATCTAGGCCATCATCCAGCATCCCTGCCATCTTTCATACCACCCAGACACATCTCTCCCCTGATTCCAGATGTACACACTGACAAATAGATCCCCAGATCTATCTGCAATGATCTGCTGGTCATTGCAGATTCTGACCCAAGAGCCTGGGGGTGGTGAGGAGAATGGCCTCAGAGCTTATGTCCCTAGGGCCAGGAGATCCCTAGCACGGTGAATATTCCTTTGCGATCTGACCTCTGTGGACTTTACCTATTTTACCTTTTGCCCATTCCCACTCCAGCTCTACTGATCTTTGTTCACATCACATAAGCCTGGTATTGTACTCAGGAATGCCCATAGTATTGACAATAATGCATTCCCTCCCCAGCCAACTCCTAGTCATTCTTCAAGGTCCTGCCCAGATGCCCTCTGACTTCTTCAAGTAGAGCTAGTTGTTCTTTCCTTGGCACTTGACCACCCCCTTGCTGGCATTTCTCTCAGAGCCCTATCTGAGAGGGCTCTGGATCACTAGCTATTTCTTCCACATCCTTCCCACTCTGACCATGAGCTCCCTCAGGAAGGGGCCTTGCTTTCCCTTTGTTTTGTTTTTGTTTTTTCCTTTTTTTTTATTGAATGGTAACTATGTACATTCTTGCTTTCCCTTGGAACCTGCAGTCCTTTATATCTAAAGAACAAGCACTTGATGAGTGCTTACTGTGCCCACGCCCTTTACTGACATTATTTCATGTAACCCTTACACCTGTCCTATGAAGTAAGTGTTCAGCATCCTTATTTTACAAGTGAAGAAACTGAGACTCAGGTGGGTTAACTAAATTGCTTGAGTTAAAATAGCTGACAAGTGACAGAGCTGGGAATTGAGTCCAGGGCTATCACCTTTGGGATGCCTGCTAGTTAGTTGAGTGGAATTGAGCTCTGTGAAAGCAACGTCCTGGTCACAGAAGGGCTCTGGCACTGATGGCCATCTGCTTATCATCCTTGATGGCCCACTCTCCTCACTTACATGGGATCCACTCTGTGTCCTGCTCCCCAGCACCTGTGGCTTCCTCTCAGTGACTGGTCGGTCCTCCAGCCCTGTGTAGTCAGGTGCATGGTGGGTGCAGTAGTTTCTCTTCTTTGCTCTGAGGCCATGGTCCTGAGAGCTTCCGCTGCAAACAGTATGCAACCAACATGCCAGAATTGGCAGGCCAGGGCTGATGGGTATTCGCAGCAGCAACTTCCTGGGAAACTCGTCTATTCTGACGAGTAGAACTTACCCAAAGAAGAAAAAGAAGGACTAATTTAAAACCTCATTTCCTCTCTCCGCCAGGGAGGGGTGCAGGCAGTGGGTTTGTGTGGGGTGGGTGGCAACGTGGGGCCGAGGTGGAAGGCCTCTATTCTCTGTGGGCCTGGCTGGCCAAGGACCCTGCAGGAGGGGAGGAAATTCTTCTAAGGGACCAGGTCAGTAGCCAGGGCTCACCTCTGGGGACTGCAGCAGGAGGGTGAGCCAGCACTGGTCTGGGAGACGTCACACTTTCCATCCCTGCCGCACCCCCTCCCCCAGATAAACATCCCTTGAGCTTTGAGGGCACTGCCCAGGGCTTCCTCAGAGGCCACTGGCTTCTGAATGAAAGGCCCGATTGAGCAGCTGCTGGAAAGGAAAACAGCAGCCAACACGGGTGAACCTATAAAACCCAGAGTGTTTATTTTCACTCCCGAGCCCTAAACCAAAGCAATTTCTCCCCTGGAACTGACCCTGGGGTGGCTGGCGGCCGGAGGCTGAGCATGGCCACTGGCTGGCATTTCTCTGAGGAAACGCATGTGTGAATCCGGAATGTCTGGGGCCAAGGGAGGGTCTAGCACAGAGCCTGTTGCTGGTAGCACCTTCCAGCTCCCTGCTGGGTATCTGTGCAGAGAGGGCCTCCGCAGGAAGTATTGCTAGCAACTCTGACCTGCAGTCCTCTGGGCCTCTGAGGTGGGCTCCCATGACAGTGCTGCGTTCTGTTGCCTTGGTGCCGGGGCCATCTTTTGCTTCTCATTTGTTGAGGATTTAAGAAGGTGCACAGGAGTTGCCCAGAAAACACTTGTTGAGCAATACTGAATTTGGGAGAAGGAGGCTATTGTGGAGATATTGCCATCCAGACAGCCCGAGGGTTGCACCTTGGGTGGGGTTTCAACGCATGGCCAGCATCAATTCTCTGGGCCAATGGAAGGGTGTCTGTGACATGTGCTTGGGTTTTTATGAATGCATGTGCTTTGTACTCCAATTATGAACAAAATATTTTAAATGATTCTTAATTCAAATGACTTCTGTGATATTGGGGATTCATGAGCATCAGTTGTATGTGCTAGATTTGCTTTAAACTGGAAAGCTATGACTCGAGAGGATGTAGAAACCACATGTCATCAGCACTGTACCTAGCTCCGTGCTGCCCACCCGTTTGCTATGGAATGGGTGGCATCACATCCCTGAACAGCAGTCTGAGCCATGTTGCCCTTGATCGTAGATTGTTATTTCTTGAAGGGCATTGGGAGGAAACTGCTGCTTGGCCAGATTGCTCCCCCAAGGAATTTTGCTTGGCCTCCTCCAGCTGAGAACGCCTGTTGTAGTTGGAGAGGCCACAATCTCTACTTACAAAGCTGCCACCCTGGACAGGGCTCTGTGGTGAGGTCACTGCATTCCAGGGAATGACCCTTAGCTTGGGAGGCCCAGAAACTCCTCTTTGAGAATCTTCCAGATCAGGGAGCTTGGGGGACCTTGCTTGGCTAAACAAGACAATGAAAGGTGGCTCTTAGACAACCTTGTGTATTAATTTACAAGAGTGGAGAATCTGTCAGGAAAGCAGAAGGTCCTGCCCCCTCTTTGCTGGCCTCATGGCTCCTGGGAGATCAAGGCTGTGTGCTGGTTGGGTGGTCCTGAGGGATGCTCCAGTCAGGCCAGGTCACAATGAGATCTGATGAGCCACAGACGCCCACAAATGCAGCCACCTGTTGGTGACCAGTTTTCACCTTAGTTTCCCCTTGGATCCAGATTCAGTCCTGAATCTGCTTTGGGCTTTCCATGTCTGGACTTTGATCATGCTGCATCCCCCACTCCTGTCCCTATTTTTAAGTACAGCTTTTTGTTAACGTTGGCTCTGGCTGGGGCAATCCACCAGACGAGCTTAAGGAGGTGTTTTCCAAAGTGCATTGGAGGCTTGTGAAATGCTTCACTTAAAAAGGGTTCCTGAGTAAGAGAGACTGGGAAACACTGTATGCTTAGAGATTTACAATGCACAGTGGCATATGAGAGGCTCTGGGCGGCTGCAGGGAAGGAGCCTGTTTAATCTGTTTAAGCACTCATTAGCTCCCCAGAGAACTCACCACTCGAAGAACACGTTTTGGGAAACACTGATCTGCAGGATTCAGTCCAAATTGCTCTGTACAAATCCAGGAGCGTCTGTGATCTTCCCCTCCCCCTCTCACTGCACTATCCCCACTGATGTGCCTTCTGCTTAGCCAGACTGGATGCTTTCTGTTTCTGGATGCCCATGCCCATTGGTGCCTTTGCCTGTGCCATGCTGGGTGCCTGAATGCCTCTTTTCCTTGGTCAGCCTGGGCTGCCTCCTCCTTCTGGAGACCTCCTTTGTGAAGGCTGGCTGGATTTCACCAGGCTACTTAGAGCCTCCCTTGTCCCAGCACCTGGGCACTCCACTAGTTACTTGCGTATCACTTTGTATTATGTTTATAGCTGTTGTCTCATTACCATTTCCAACCAGTGGTCATGATTAAGAACTTGAATTGTGTCTCATTCATCTTCATATTCCTAGTACTGGGCTAACCTACCATGAAGTAGCCAGTCAATAGTTGGATAACGAATGAATGATGTATTACAAATAATGCTTGAGTGAACATCTTTGTATATCTAGCTTTTTGGTTAATTTGAATGATTCCCAGGAATATGGGAAAAAGAGTATAAACAGTTTTATGTTTTTCAGGGCATGCTGCCCAATTGCTTTTCTGAAGAGTTACTGAATTGCTTCTAGCAATAAAGGAGAATACCTATTTCATCAAATATTTGCCAATACTGGGTTTTGTAATTTTGAACAACTTTTCTTAATTTTATAGGAAAAATATTTTTACTTCCTTGATTACTAGTGATTTAATCCACTGTCTCTTTCAGCCCCTTTCTATTGGTATGGCATGGTGGAAGGAGCACTGGACTGGGAGTCAGAGGGTCTAGTCATGGCCACATATGAGCACAGATGAGAAACTTAGTCTTTCTGGGGTCAAGCTCCCTCTTCTGACAAATGGGGTTCCACTCCTGCCCTGTCACCTTGATAGTCTGAACTGCTTGATGAGAAGGCTGTGAGGTGAGCATAGTGTAGGGCTCAGTGCAGGGCTCTGGATGCAGCCTAGAATCATCTGCCTGGGGCTTGGTGACTGAGCCCTTGCTCACTTGTGGTGAAGGAGTCTGGCAGAATCCTCGAGTGTCCATAATTGGAGCTCCTCAGGGCAGCATATGGTCCTCAGAGCGCTCCAGTGCAAACACACTCATCTCAGCCCAGGGTGCTCTGTGTGGCTTGGTGGGTGTGGCGCTGGAGGAAACCGGGCTGGGATAGACTTGGAAACCCATCCCCTCACCTTGTCCTCTGCCTTTCTCCTCTTGGCTTTCCTGGAAGAGGGATTTGTCTGTGAGTCTGTCTGGCTGTTTTTCATCTGACCACCTTGCTCTAGCAACACCCCCACTCTCCCTATTTCTTTTCCTTATTTTTTAGAGGGGCTGGGCCCTGTGTGGGGAGAGGCCAGGCCCCAGCACACAGTAGCCCAGTGTCTGAGGCCCCAGGCCTCCAGGCCTGCTCTTTACAATGCCTTTGTTGTGTGTTTTTTCCTCCCATGGGCGGGTGGGGCACGTGTGGAGGTCTGGGTGATTTTTGTTTGAGAGCCACCCCCCACTCCACTCTCCTCCCAGCGCTGAGCTCATTGCTTGGGCTGCTGGGGCTGCTGGAAGGAGTCGGCCTGCTCGGGGGCCAGCGTGGGGGGTGCTGCCAACACCAATACAGTGCGCACAGCCGCTACAATGTGCAATTGTGATCTTTGTGTAAACGCGGTCGGTCTGGGGCCCGTGTGCTTATAAAAATAAAGCGTTGGGAAGCACGGGGGGCGGGAACAAAAGGGGCTTTTTCGCTGGCTTTCTAATATGGTTTTATTTATCGGAACACACCCTCCTTCCCTTACTGGAACCAGGAGAGGTTCTCTGCCGAGCTTGGAGCTGATGGTATCACAGCCAGACGGTTTCATTAAACGCACAGACGCCACTGGGCCCTGCCAGGGGCAGAAGGGAAAGGGCTCGAGGCCAGCCCTACCAGGGCTGGTGCAAGGCTGGGGAGCCCCCTGCCAGGGAGGGTTCCACAGGTGGGGGTGGTGAGACATGGTAGGCAGGTCTTCTCTATCCTTTCCCCTGCTGAGGGCCTTCCTTTGCCCTTTTTTGCTCCCCAGAATCAAGTTCAAAACCAATTTCCTGTAGGAAGTCCTCCGTGGTTGACCCCATTGTGCTTTTTGCCTGATGAGTCATGGGCTGGTCCCAGGCTGCTATTTGCCAGACCCTTTGTTGTGCAGCTAGTGGATGGTCATGCCCTTAATTGAGATGCTCCTCATCCTTCAAACTAGTTCTGTGGGCAACAGCCACAACCTTGGACCTGGCTCTCTCCATTCCTTAATGGAAGCCCTCTGGTCGCCTACCTCAACCTTCTCACCTCTTCTATAGTCACTCCCTGCCAGCATCACCTTCTACCTCCTGTGCAGTGGCCATGGTGTACCACTTGGTCTCCTTGTGGCCAGAGAGCTTGTCCTGCTCTTCTCCTTTTTGTGGGGAAACACTATCTCTCTATCTCAATCTCAGGGCTCTGTAGCCTCTGAGGCCAGAGAGGCAGAGGCCATTGCCTCTGGGGCCACTGAGGCCTCCTTGAGGTCACATGTGGAGTTAGTGGCAGTGATGGGGCTAGACTGTGGGGCTCAGGGGGCACAGGGCAGGATGGAGCAGGGTGCCAAGGGTACAGGGCATGTGTTAGGCACTGGATTGAGCGCTCAGGTTGACATCCTGTTATAGGGAGCTGGAGGAGCTGAAGGACTTGTGGCTGGGCCCCAGGCTGGTGTGGCCAGGGCTGGGAGGCTGGGATGGTAATTTTGGGGGACAGCAGGAAGCTGTAGGGACCTTCAGGTTTCTCTTACACCACCTGCGGCTCAACAGCTCTATCTAGTGCTCCATATCCTTCTAAGCCCCTACTATCTTCACCTGAACCATTGCAATAGCCTCAGAACTGATCTCCCTGTACCCCTCTGCCCTCTCCAGTCTGTTCATTAGCTTACTGAGATGCAGACCCCGTCACTTCAGTCTGGTGGCATCCCAGAGCTCTTAGACACCTACATCTCTGCTCTGCTCATCCTTTCTCAAGGAAGCCAGATCCCTTGTTAATATACTTTACTGAACTTTATTCTTCAAGGCTCTGATCCCCCAAAGTGTAATTTTATATTTGCTTGTATGAATATTTTACATTTATTTCAAATTATATTCTTGGTCCGTAGCACCTAGCCCCTATCTTGGCATGCAGAAAGCATTTAATAAATGTTTCTTGGACAAACGAATGAATGAATAGATGATGCCTCAGAGGCCAGCCCAGGAAGCAGCACAGAAAGGGAAGTTCTTTGAATGCTATACCCATTTCTTGGGACCTAGGCTCCATTTCTCCATGGTAGCCTGCCCGCTGGACTTCTGGAGTGTCTGGGAGAGCCCCCAGGGGAAAATCAATACCTAATCTTGCTGCTTCAGCTCTGTGACCCTGCAAGACCCCTGAGCAGGTGGACCTCATAGTCCCTACTGTGTCCTGTCTTGGCCCACACAGATCCCTACGCAATCGTCTCCTTTCTGCACCAGAGTCAGAAGACAGTGGTGGTGAAGAATACCCTGAACCCTACCTGGGACCAGACACTCATCTTCTATGAGATCGAGATCTTTGGCGAGCCAGCTACCGTTGCTGAGCAGCCGCCCAGCATTGTGGTGGAGGTGTATGACCACGACACCTATGTGAGTCTGTCCACTTTCCACCTCATCCCTGCACTACCATCCCTGAAGGTGGGGTCTCTGTGGACTCTAGGATCCCCAACCAGATGGGTGCTCCCCAGAGCTGAGACTGTTGGCCTCTCCCCTGACCCCACAAGCTATAGAGTAATTAAAACTACTTAAGAGTATTAAAAATGGATTGCTAGCACATGTGCTGTGTCCTGTGGCAGACACTGCTGATTAAACATGGCAGAGAGAGGGGACATCTCTAGAAAGGGCACTTGGCTATGGGTCAGGAGCCTGGCTTTTCTCTGCCTCTGACTTGCTTATGTGATCCCAGGCCAGTCCCTTCTTCCCAGCAAGGAACTGTGTTGGATCCACAAATATCTATTAAGCCATGGCCTTCTGGGCGGAGTGGCTTCTCTCTTGGGGTTCCCTATCTAGTTGGAAGCTGAGACCCACCCACAGAGTGGAGATTCTCTGTAAGACATTGTGTCCCCAAGTGCCACACAGCTCAGTGCCATAGGCAGGTCCTCTTATCAGAGCTATTCAACAGAACACTGCTTCGGATGATGGAAATGTCCTAGAGCTGTGCTGTCCAATGTAGGCATCTCTGGCCACAGGTGCCTAGTAAGCACTTAAAATGTGACTAGTACAACTGAGAAATGGAGTTTTATTTCATTTAACGAAATAAAATTAAAGTTTAAATAGCTGCAGGTGGCTAGTGCTCCTGCATGAGACAGCTTAGCTTTAAAAGGTTCCCAAGAGGGAGCGATTGCTGTGGGCTGGAATGTCAGGGACAACTGTGAGAAGCCCCAGGCCCCAGAGGAGGAGAGGTGGGATTGGGGTGTGGGACGGGGCAGGGGTGTTCCAGCACAGGGTGGTGGAGACAGGGAGCCTGACGGGGGCAGGTTGGGAGGGAGGAGTAAAGAGTATGAGGCCAGGAGGCAGGAGGATGACAGCTTCAGAGCAACATGTTCAGAAGAGGAGGTGAGATGCCACTGGGGATAGTCAACTGAGCTGGGTCAGGGGTGGCAGTGGGATGGAAGAGGAGGGCATAGGTTTGGAAGATGCTTCAGTAGGAGTTGCTGTGACTGGATGTCAGGTGCCTTGGGAGGGTCTGGTGAGCAAGAGAGTGGGGGACGGTGCTGCTGTGTCAGATGCCACACTGGATGGGGAAGGGGGTGGCTGGCAGGGGGCAACGTGGGCCAGGGCTGGGGAGCCCAAGCTGGGGGCGTGTGGAGGAAAGGCTGGTGCTGTAGGAGGAACAACTGCAGGAAGAGTCTATTTGGGATGTTTAGAGAGCATAAGCCCTGAGACCTCTGGGAGCAGAAGGAGGAGGGGGGCTGGGTGGTGGCAGCTGGCTGGGAGGATGCTGGTCAGTGGGACTAAGCACAAGAAACAAGTCCAGGAGCTAGAAGGCTGATGGGACAGGCCTCCCGGCTATGCCAGAGCTCTGAGTGGGCCTCCTGCCCCATCCCTGGCCAGGATCTTCAGAGCTAGAGTAGTTTGGACTTAATCCTCTGAGTAGCAAGAGACAAGGTAGGGGCCTGAGCAAAGTAATTATAAGATGTAAAACATTATTTTGCAAGATTCATTTAATTTGATGAGTGTGATCATAGTTTCTCCATTTGGAAAGTGGGGAAATTTAAGGGTGAAACAACAGAGGTTACAAAGGTCCTTGGAAACACGAGGCATCTATACTGCTGAGGGCGTTAGTGCGGGGAGATTGTCTCTAATGGGCTCAGCAACCAAAGTTGCTCAGTTAATGGTTAAATTACAGCAAGATGAACACCAGTTGGATATACAGAGGGACTTCCTCACTGTGATGGGAATTCAAACCTAATATGTCTCTACGGAAGGCAGGCATCACCATTCTGCATGGGGGGCTGCCCTGACTTCTGAGGCCCTTTCCTGTTCGGGAGGCCATTTGTAGGTCTGGAGATCTCTCCGAGGCTGCTCCAGAGCCCTGGCCGAGGGGGATGCTGACTTTTCTCTCTTCACTCCTGGTCTAGGGTGCAGATGAGTTTATTGGCCGCTGCATATGTCAGCCGAGTCTGGAACGGATGCCCCGGCTGGCCTGGTTCCCACTGATGAGGGGCAGCCAGCCATCAGGCGAGCTACTGGCCTCTTTTGAGCTCATCCAGAGAGAGAAGGTAAGGCTGGTCCACATTCAGCCCCTGAGATCCAGGCAGGAAGTGCATGCAGGGGCAGGGTGGGGGCCACAGGTGGGGAAGGTCCTTATAGGGGAGGTGCTGCCCACATGCCCTTCTTTCTCACCAGGGCCCGATACTCAGTGGGCCCTGGGACAGCTTCCTCTGACACCAGGCCTCCTACTGAGGCTGTTTGCCCATCTTTTCTGAACCCCAAATCAGGACATGATCTAATACTGGGGTAGGATGTTGGAATCTGGATTGTTTGAGTCCTCTGGTCATGGAGTTTCTAGGAGGAAGACCTCTGGGGTTGAGGGTGCCTTAATTGCAGTGATGGGAGAGCTCCAGGGACAGGCAAGGGCAGGACACCCCTTCTAGTGTTGGCTCCACTGGGACCCAGCTGCATGGCCCTGAGCATGAAGTATGAGGTTTGGATCAAGCTCTATCTTCAAACCTCCTCTTAGTATGATGTGAACTCCAGTGTTAAACTGAATAGGAGGGGGACCTGTTCTGGGTGGAGTGTCTAGAGGGGACACAGCACACTGCCACCATGGCTTCCCTGAACCCCCACCCTGCCATGGGAATAGGGTCTGCCAACCCCTGGACTGTCTGATTACTGGCACACTCCATGAGTGTCATGAGGGTGATTGGCATACGCTTTAGGTGACAAGCATATGACTGAAGTTTTCCTTTTCTTCAACCTAGCCGGCCATCCACCATATTCCTGGTTTTGAGGTAAGTCTTAGTCTTCTTACCTTTTCTTCTTCAAACTGTTTCCAGCATCCCTGTGTTAGCAGAGCCTCCTCTGGGCTAGGAAGTACAGTCAAACATATACAACCACCCGACTGCCTGAGCCCACTTGGAAAGCTCCTCTGGCAGAGGAGGGCCTGGATGGGTCACTGGGGCGGGGTCCTCATCTTACTCAGAGTCTCCTGCCCAGCTCAGCCTTTCCTGCCATTTTTTTCCTGATAAGTCTGAGAACTATAGAGTCCCAGATGGAAAGAACTTCATAGTCACCAGCTCAGCGGCTGTCAGCAGGGCAGCACACCTCCCCAGCAGCTTTAAAAATCATCTCTGCTTAGGCCTCACCCAGATCTCGGTATCTTCTACCACTACCAGGGAGATTTTTTTTCTTTTTTTTGAGACAGAGCCTCAAGCTGTCCCCCTGGGTAGAGTGATGTGACATCACAGCTCACAGCAACCTCCAACTCCTGGGCTCAAGCGAGTCTCCTGCCTCCGCCTCCCAAGTAGCTGGGACCACAGGTGCCTGCCACAATGCCTGGCTATTTTTTGGTTGCAGCCATTGTTGTTGTTTGGCAGGCCCGGGCTGGATTTGAACCTGCCACCTTAGGTGTATGTGGCTGGTGCCTTAGCCACTTGAGCTACAGGCGCCGAGCCACCAGGGAGATTTTGATTTGGAACTGGGGCTGATTCCCATTAACACACTTTCAGGTTCTGAAAGTGTGGCTGATTCTTGGGTCCCATTTCAAACCCACAAAAGCTAACTCTGAGGGTTCAGCCTCCAGCTTCTGTATTGACTAGCCTTCCAGGGGCTTCTGATGGACATTGAGTTTCAGAAAGTTTGATTTAGGCCATACATGGATTTCCCAATTAACTGTTCCTGCCATGACTCTATTTTCTTTCCTCTTCCAGTAATGGGGGCTTCATTCCCTTACTGTTGCTCTCCCTCCTTCTCCTGGGGATCATGATAGAAAATGTTGACCCTTGACTGGATAGTATGCTTTTTCAGACTGGGCTCAGCTGTAGCTCAGAGAAATGGTCATTTGGGTTCTGTTTGGACTCTCATTTGCCCTTCACGAGGCAGCCCATTCAATGATCAGACAGTTCTTACCAAGTGAGCCATCCTTTGCCACCCCCCATTCCTCCTTGTCTTCTTCCCTGTCCTGTCCAAGCTCCTGCTGACAATTCTGGCAGCTCCTGGGGGGCTTCTCCTTGGCTCCCCAAGTCCACAGCCCAGTAGGAGCAGCTGCTACGGGGCCTCAAGCCTGCCTTCCTCCTGGGGCTGCTGTGCAAGCCCCCAGACCCTTCCCATCACCTGCTGTCATCCTTTCTCCTGTCACTTCCAGAGGTGCCTGGCCTTTCCCACCAATCTCCCACATCAGCATCCCTTATATCTTCTTTCTCAGGGACCATGTGCAGGGCATGGAGGGGAGGCACAGCATCCTTACCACTGATGGGAGGCAATTTCTATTGGCTCCTCTTAGTGGGGACGTCCAATTTGCTGATCTCGGACTCATCCCAATGTTCCTTGTTACTAATGGAGAATTTTCCCCCCCTTTCCTCACCATCTGGGATGTGGAACTTCCCATGGTTGTGGTCCAGGTGCAGGATACAGCAAGGATCCTGGATGAGGTGAGCTAGACCTTGAGGCTGCGGTGTGTGTGTCTGGGCTGTGTGGGCAGGATGGAGGGAAGGTTAAGGCCAGTCCCTGAGCACATGCCCTGGAGCCTCCAGGTTCTCTTGTACACCAGCCATCTGCCACGTGGAAACTGCCTGGATTTTATTCTCCACACTCTATGTGGATCCAGGGCTGCCTGGGATGTGTCTTGCGGGGATGGATTCTGGTCTCAGGAGACTTGCTGTCCTACTGAGAGGCCAGCTTCACCCATACTACATGGACAGCAATGCAAAGTCTTATCTGGCTGGGTAGCAGGTGGCATGTTTTCAAAATAAAATGTTCAGAAGAGGCCAGAATAGTTAAGGAAGCTTTTCTGGTGGAGGCAGAATTAGCTAGATGTAGCACTTAAGAAGAAGGTGGAAAACATGGCTTTGGCCCAAGGGACCAAGGACCAGTTTAGGTTTTGGCTAGCTGGTTTGGGACCTTCTAGGGACTAGAAGAAGTTTGAAGTTTGATTCTAGACAAAGCAAGGGCAGTTCTCTGTGATAGGGAGTGGGGGTGAGAAGCAGGGTTCCCAGGGCCTCCTGCACTTTTGTGAGCAGCTCATCAGGAGTGAGCCAGGGGCAGAGGCTGGGTGGAGAGACAGGAAGGAGAGCCCTGGTCAGATGGGCAGTTGGGAAAAGGGCAACCACTTCCTGCTATCAGGGAATCCCCAGGCTGACAGAGGACACCATTTGACATTTTTAGTGCAATGTGGACTTAAAGTGCAGGGTCAGGATGTGGATCCACAGGCCCCGCACCCCTTACCTCACTTCCTTTTGCTCCCAGACCGAGGTGGGGTCCGCCAAGTGAGCCGGCCATAATTGCGCCTGACAGGCAGCCTCCTGCTTCTGGCTGCAGTTGCGAGAGACTGCCGATTTGGAAAGGGAGGCAAAGTCCTATCCAGGGAAGCAGCACGGAGCCCTCTGTCTTGATTGAGAGGCACTTTGTGGCCAAAACCCACAGCCTGCTCTGAAGAAGACCCAGCCCAGGGATGAGTTATTAAAAAAAAGTTAAAATCCTTAATAACTGGATTTGTAATATATAATAGTGAAGGCTCAGATTCTGAGAGCAGAGATCTGGCTGCAGTTTCATTGTCAGAAAGCAAATCAAAACTGTAGCTTTTGGGCCAGACCCTAACGAGGGCCAAGTGTCCTGCTGCCGGGCCAGCCAGGCCACAGGCTGAGGCTGGGTGTGGGTCAGCAGGGCCAGAGGGGAGAAATCCTGGGTGTGCTGGGCACAGGGCCAGCTGAGCCACAGGTTCAAAGGGTCTCAGGTCTAGGGTGAATGGTCCAGGGACAAACCCCAGAAAATTGCCTCCCCTGGGGGCCCCACCTCAGTTCTGGGGCTTCTAAGTTAGTTTATGTCCCCCTCACTTGAAGACTAAGCCTCATGCCAAGATCCTGGGTCCTGTCTGGTTTTAAGGATCCCCAAGGCTGGCTAGGCGCAGTGGCTCATGCCTGTAATCCTAGCATTCCAGGAAGCTGAAGTGGGAGGATCACTTGAGGTCAGGAGACCAGCCTGAACAAGGGTGAGACCTCTGTTTCTACTAAAAATAGAAAAAATTAGCTGGGTGTGGTGATGGGCACCACCTGTAGTCTCAGCTACTTGGGAAGCTTTGGAAGGAGAATCACTTGATTGTACCACTGTACTCTACCCAGGGTGATAGTAAGAGTTGCAAATAAAAAAAAAAAAAAAAAGAGAGAGAGAATCCCCAGGGCTGGGTGGAGGCAGAGGGTTAGTTCTGTGGCTGTGTGGCTGCAGCTGGTTCTATAAGAAGCCTGATGTCCAGCAGGATCTTCCTGCTTTGCTGTAGCTGATCTCCTGCCTTGTGCCCCACATTCATTTACCTCCTCTCAGGCTCTCAGCCTGATCCCTGCTCAGACCTTCCCTTAGGCTGTGCAATGCCAGGTAGGGAGTTTAGCACTGGCCATGGGAGCTCTTGAGTGTCTGAGAGCAGAGGGCAGAGTGGATGTGAGGGAGCTGTCTGGTTACAGGGGTGTGGACTAGGACCTAGGGGCTGAGACTAGCTAGGGTCTCCTGGGATAGCTGTGATAATAGGCACCTGGAACAGAGAGGGGCCAGCAGGAATGGATGGGCAAGGGACTCTGAGGGGTGGGTTAAGTGGGCCTCTCCTATACCAACTGCCTCGTGGTGTAGAGTTTCACAAGTGTCCTGTGGAACAGGATAGTAGGGATGGCTTCCTGGAAGAGGTGATACTGAGCTAGCTTTTGAAGCAGGGATTGGCAGAAAGGGTGAGGGAGGAGCCCAGGCAGTAGTGCCACGGGCTGGGGATGTGTCATGGCCTGGGGTCAGTTCAATGAGCTACAAACTTTCCCTTCTCTCATCTGGGACATCCATATCTAGGCCTCTTCTTGATGGAGAAGAGATCTTTGCATTGCATTTAAGGCTTTGGGGGTGTGTGGAGACCTTTGCCCCCTTCAGGGAGGGGATGGAGTGGAGGAGTTCGTTGCTTCCTTCCAGCTGTCCAGCTGTCTCCTTGTCTTTGTCTTTCCCTCTTTTTGGAGCCTCTTCCCACTCTCCCTTCCTCTGTTTGCTCCTTGGCCCCAGCTCCCTCCTTCTCCCCGCCTTTTCTGAGCCCTCTGTCTGTTTCTTTTCCTTTTTGTCTGGAGAACAAAGGCAGTCCGAGCTGCCAAGGGGAATGAGTTCAAAGAAACTGCAATTTTAGATTTCCTGAGAACTGGAGAGTGTGTGCCTGCACGTGTGAGCGTGTGCGAGTGTGTACACTCGTGAGGATGAACACACATGCACGCACAAGAAGCAGCAGAGGTGATGGTGGGATCTTGAACACTCAGGGGCCCCAGGATGTGGATGCTGTGTAGAGGAAGACCTATGGGGGCGGTCTTCCCCACTGGGGGGCATGGTCCAGAGCACTACCCTTGCGCTGTGGCTCCCCTCCTGCAGGGGCAGGGGAGGCCTTGGTAGAAGGCATCGCATGCTTCTTGGCTGTTTTTACGGCTGGCTCAGGGGGCCGACCAGATGTCACTCCATCCGCCCTTCTAAATCCAGGCGAGAGGGTATATGGCTTTTACTCTTAGATGTGCCTGAGGTACTCTCCAGCACCCCCAAATCCACTAGAAGGAAAAATTTGGTGTTTTGCAATCAGAAAAATAAACCCAGTGGTCCCCATCCCCCTATCCCTCCCCAAGGCCTTAATTTAAAACACTGTTTTTCCTGGGAAGTGTAATTAGAGCAACATGTTGTTCCTAATGAGCTGGGTGGGGCAGGCAGACAATGGAGCCCTCCCAGCCTGCCTGGCTGCCCCCTGCCTGGAGCTCCCTAAGGAACCAGGATGTGAATGTCCAGAGGGTCTCCTGAGTGTCCCCTGCTGAGTGAGGTGGGAGGACTATGGGCTACTGGTGATGGGGCTGACCTAGGTGGTGAGGGAGGCTTGCCAACACTTCCCCTGTCTTGGGAATGACCGCCTGTCTAGGTGGCCCCTAGGGCAATGGGTGACTAGGGGAGGGGCCATCTTTCTTGGCCCCTCAGAGCCTCGGCTCCCTTACCAGCAGGACTGATAGAAGCAGGCCTGAGGGTGGCTTCTACTCTACTGGGGGAGAGAAGCTCACTTGTCTTTGGGGTTCTTTTGTTCTGAGCTGGCCTGATAAACACCCCACACACCTGTAGACCCATCAGTGCTGCTGCTCCAGGTCTGCTCTGTATTAAGGGAGCAGAGAAAGGACAGGTCAAATGTGGCTTCCTCTATTTAGGCTTTTCAGAGTCCCCGTCAACCATAGGACAGTGAATCAGGATGTCCTGGTGGCACTTTAAATCCACACCTCGCCACCTACCCCTCAACTCCCACCTGGTGGTGCTGATAGGCTTCCTGGTTCTGATAAGGGTCATGGCACCCTGATTGAGAATCACTGTCCTGGAGAGAGGGTGTCATACCTCTCAGGTGGGCAGAATTAGAACAAAGTTGTAAACCAGGCTGAGGAGCTGGCTACAGGCCGAGGCTGGAGATTCCTGCGTGTGAGATGGCTAGAGACTGGATGGGACCATGGGAACGAGCTGGTGGTAGTGCAGACTGTTCCTCTCCGGCATCCCATCACCCCTACGTGTTCTTTGGGTTGAGCCACAAGCTGGTGATTATGGACTTTGGAGAGAGAAGTTTCCAGGGAGGGAGTGCCAGAAGCTGAAACATGGTGCTCTGGGCAGCAGTAGGTGGAGAGAAGGCAGGACGGAGACAGGAGGAGAGAAAGGAGAGGAGGGATGTCTGGCATTTCAGGGCTGGGCAAAAAAAGGGAGGGGTGCTGCTGGGAAGACTCAGTGTATTGCACGTAGGGGCCACATAGACAGCCAGGGTTAAGAAAAGTCAGAGAATAAGGTTAGGGCAGGTTCATGTAGACACTAGAGTTAAGAAAAGTCAGAGATCAAGGTTATAAGAAGTTTCAAGAGTGTTTGAGAGATTTTCTGAAGGATGGAGAGCTTGAACTAGTCCCTGAAAGATGTGTTAGATTCAGAAAGACAGCAGAGGAAACCCAATGAAACAGGGGAAAAGTAAGAAGGCACTGGTGGGGGGAGGGGGTTGATGAAGACCCAGGGTCAGGTTGGAACAGGTGAGGGTGTTGGGGAGGAGGACAGTGTACATTGGAGTCATTTCTTTATCCTCTCATCTACCCACCCATCCATCTGTCTGCCATCCCTCCCTTCCTTCTTTCCATTATACATTCATAATCAGTCATTTATTGAATGGAGATTCAGCTGTAGTTCCTTTGTGCAGAAGCCCTGGTTTAACCAGGAACAGAGTCAAATGTACACACAGAGATGGTATAGTTGATAAGTGTGTCTTTCAATGGGTGTAAGTGCAAGTTGCTATAGGAACCATGGGGGCACTAAAACGCAAGTTCAGGTCACCAGGGAAGACTGAAATGGACATGTGTGATCTGAGTAGGAGGCACCAGATGAAGTGGGGTAGAAGCACATTCTGGACAGAGGGACCAGTGAGCTCTAAGCCCCAAAGCTAAAGAGACCAAGTTGCCTCCTGCAACCTGCTAGTGTTCAGAAGGACAGATAATGGGCCTGTCTGGGAGGTGGCTTGTCATTATATGGGATCCTGCAGGGGAAATCTGGTGAGAGACTGGCCCAGAGAAGCCAGCAGAAGCTAGAAGATGAGGCCACGTCAAAGCATTTGCACTTCATCTTGGGTGAGTGGAGAGATGTTGAGGATCTTGAAGCAGAGAGTGACACTAGAGAGAGCTCACACTGGCTGCAGAGCACAGCTGCGTTGGTGGTTGGGGAGGGGCAAAACCAGGTGTAAAGAGACCACTTAGGTGGATGCTGGTGAATCTAGTCAAGAAAGGCTGGTGGTTTGAACTGAGAGAAGAGATAGGTGAGGTCTTGGGAGTTGTTTGGGAAGCAGAATTGCCAATGATTGGTTATCAATGAGACATGGTGATGGTGGCATGGAGCTTTGGCCTGGTTGTCAGATGAATGGTGAGGCCAGTTTTTTAGATGGCATTTGAAGGGAAAGATAAAGAATCTAGTTTTGGACAAGTTTAGTGTGAGGCCAGTAGGACACATAGGTGAACTGAGCGGAAAGGTGTTGGGAGTGGGGGTGGGGGTTGAGCAGAGCTACTTAGAAGGCCTGGCAGAAGCAGAAGGCCTAGGAGAGGTCCAAGAAGGCCTGGTGTTTTCAGAGAAAGGGGGTGCTGCCCGAGAGACTGAGCACACAGTGGGTATAGGCCACTGGTTTGGATCCAGAAAGACAGTGGGGCCAGCTCAGCTGGCTAGGTGCTTCTGAGTGAGAAGAGCTCAAGAGTGTCCTTCAGGTTGAGCCACAAAGCAGGTGATTATTGACTTTGGAGAGAGAATTTTCCATAGAGTGGCTGGGCAGATGCATGGTGCAGTGGGGAGCAGTGGTGTGGACATGAGGGAGGATGGAGACAGGAAGAGAAAGGAGAGGAAGGAGGCTATCATGGTGACACAGAGAAGAGGGCATGGGTGGATCTGAGAGAGGTGGGTGTCTTTAATAGGGTAAGACAGATCCAGGAGGTAGTGTGAAAAATGAGGGAGAAGCACTTAGGAGTGGACATGCAGTCCCAGGTTCACAGGCACCCAGCAGGCTGCTGTGTGCACCAGGGCAGAGGGCTGGCGTGGGGGAGGGCTGCTGTGGGAGAGGACTGCCATGGGTAGAATTGCCATAGGA